GCGGGTGCCGCCCACACAGGGGACAGTGGCCGTGCTGTTGACATGCAGACCTGGACAGCCACTGCTGGGCAGAGAGCCGAGCCTGCATACTTTATGGGGAAAATGGAATTTGCCTCTGTGCTCATTTTTATTTATTTTTTCATATTTATTTTTGAGAGAGAGAGGGAGGGAGGAAGGGAGTTGAGGAGGGGTGGGAGGGGGTGGACAGAGGATCCGAAGTGGGCTCTGTGCTGACAGCAGAGAGCCTGATGTGGGGCTCGAGCTCATGAACCGCGAGATCGTGACCTGAGCCGAAGTCGGAGGCTTAACTGACTGAGCCACCCGGGGGCCCCATAAAATAAGGGATACTTTAAATGTTTTTAGGAACAGGCTATTTCTACTTCCTGTACCTGACCTTAAGAAAGCATGGGTCCGTGAGCTCTTAGATTTTTCCGACTTTCTGGTGTAAAAAGGACTGTGCTCACTAGATGGCAGTGTCAACAGCCCTTTGGGAAGTTGATTCTCCCCAGGAGTCTCCCCGAGGACTGAAAATCATAAAGGTAGGAAAGCCTTTTCATTGAACATTCAGGATCTCCTTTCTACACCCTTGGTGAGAAGGAATTTCTCTGTTTCCTCCTCCTCTCTTCTTTTTGGCCAGAGAGAAGGTGCTGTCTTTACTACTGCAGGCACATCCGGGAGGCCCAGAGGAGCACCTTTGGCAAGAAGCAAATTGCCCACCAGCGCGGTCAGCTCCGGTTTCCAGCCAGTGTCCCGGCTTGGACCCCCGCATGTCACAGGCCAGTAGTCCCAGTAGTTCTGGACCAGCTGCGGGCTAATGGTATCCCGAAAGGGTGCAATAATGTGTTTAGCACACGGGGATAATTGTTAGACCCTCGGTGCTTACTCTTACATCGTATCTAGCATCACTGCAATATAATCTCTCTCAGGAAATGTAATTTTGTTTTCTAATGATGTAAAAATCTGTTGCCCATTTGCTTCTTTGACGAGAGATTATATTCTCAGGTTTTTGTGTTTTTTTTAGTGAAAAAGGTAGTATTGTTTTAAAATCATAATGATAGGAAGTTAAAGGCCCTTGGTTGAGGTTTGGGGTTTTATTATAGTGTATCTCACGTAGCAAGTGTTAGAAAGACTGGTCTTTGTCTTATTCCTTGGGGTATTTTATTTATAGCAACTCTGCTGGTGTCCTGAGTAAGACAGTCGTGTGTTGTGTGGGACCGTCCCATGTGTTGTAGGGTGATCCGTGTCCCTGGCCGTTGTCCATGAAATGCCAGGAGCGTCCGTAGCCGCTGTGACCACCCGGTAACATACACGTCCCTGTGCCTCCCTAAGGGGGCAAGGCCGGGGAGGTGGTATCGCCTGGGGTAGTGGGGGGAGCTGCAGACTGGAGGGTTCTGGGTAAGTTGTGGGGTTTGTGGAATTCACTGGGCATGCTCTTTTAACGAAATAAATAACTTTTATATTAAAAAAACCCCACAACCAATAACCATGTTACCTTAACTTCTACTCGTTTGCATTATTTATGGGTTGTCATGTCAATTGTACATGAGCACAGTTTTTATATAGTATAAAATTGTACATGTATCATTTTTTGGTATGCTTTCCGTATAACCTCAGCGTGTACTTTGCTTGGACCCTTTGTTTTTCTGTTTAGCCCATGCATCACATCCAGATAATTCATTCTCCTCTGCCCTGCTTCCCCCCTCCCCCATCTCCACTTTTAAAGTTCCAACCATCCAACCATGGGGCCCCTGGGTGGCTCCATGGGTTGAGTGTCTGACTTCAGCTTGGGTGATGATCTCATGGTTCCTGAGTTTGAGCTCCATGTCGGGCTCTGTGCTGACTGTACTGCTTTGTATTCTGTGTCTCCCTCCCCGCCCCCTCTTTCTAACCCTCCCCCACTCATGTTCTATCACTCTCTAAAAATAAATACACATTAGAAAAAATTAAGTTCCAAGCATTTATTTTTCCCTCAGGTGAATTTTAGTATCCTTTTCTTAAGAACTAGGAAGTGTCTTTTTGCATTTTCTTTCTTTTTTTTTTTTTCAACGTTTATTTATTTTTGGGACAGAGAGAGACAGAGCATGAACGGGGGAGGGGCACAGAGAGAGGGAGACACAGAATCGGAAACAGGCTCCAGGCTCTGAGCCATCAGCCCAGAGCCTGACGCGGGGCTCGAACTCATGGACCGCGAGATCGTGACCTGGCTGAAGTCGGACGCTTAACCGACTGCACCACCCAGGCGCCCCTCTTTTTGCATTTTCAATTGAAACTTTTAACACACAAATAACTTAGGGGTGAATTATATTCTTCGCTATTTTAGTCCCGACATCCTAGATTCTTCCATTTTTGCTAGTCTTTTTCCCTCCTTTGAGTGTTTCATTGGGTGAGAGGAAGGCTTGCCTGTGTTCTCTCCCTCTCTCTGATCTCATCTGCCCTTGAGTGAAGGTTTGCTACCCACAGGGTATTCATTTGTAAACTGGGCTAGTTGAGAAGGGTGTGTTTCCTTTCTTTTTTCTTTCTTTTCTCCTCAACTAGATTAAAAACTACCCCTGTGAGCTTAAGACCTGGACTTGAGGATTCCCAAATGTTCTCATGGTGCCTACCACCGGGCCAGTCCTCTTGGTAAAGGCTTGATTAGTGGCTGTGTTCCCTGCTTGGTCTTCGCATTGATCCAGTCAATACCAGATTCTGGATGTCGGTTAGGGCACCATAAGGTATGGCTGAGACATCAGGAGCAAATTTTGTATCTTGCAGTTGACGTCTGAAGACGGAAGACAGGGGTAGAGGGGATCCCAAGGGAGTCATAAAAGCGAGAAGGAGGAAAGAACTGCCAAATCCAAGGGAAAGATTATGAGCCTGCTTCTGGTCCATGGGATGCCAAGTTCTGAAGGCTGTGCCAACTGATAACCCAAGTTCTGTGCCCCAGTTGATCATCTTGGCCCGACGAGGCTCTTCCAGCACTGAGGGTGTTTAAGGTTTAGGCAATCTTTGATCCATTCCCTGGAATGACCATATTAGAAATTTATATCCACGGGGACTAAAGTGAAGCTATTTTGGCGGTTACTTTGGTGACTTGTCAGGAGCTGGTTGATATTCGGTCTACTCCTGTCTGGAGCCGCTGGATTAAAATGGCAGATCTTGTGCTGATTGCTAGACTAGATAGTGCTGCTCAAATTGCTGTCACACTGCATAACCCAGGTTGTAATTGCAGTTCACAAAATCTTTGTTTGCTGCTCCTGTAGCTGTCGCTTAACCTAACAGCTTCTTGTCTCCACACCCTGTAAAGAAATATTTGATTTCTGTTCACCTGACACCTACCAAATTTCACCATTGAGTTTCCGAATACTTCCTGTCTTCCAGACATTCACCCAAGCTTTATGAAGAGCCCTATGTAAGTAGCACTCAAAGTCAATCAAGACAGTAATTATTCTGCATGACCTCAAATCTCAGTGGCTTTCATGTTGATTTCTCATTCGTGTTCCACGTTCGTTGTGGGTTAGCTGCAACTGTCCACAATGTTGACCCCAGTCTGTTGATGGGACAGTCTCTGTCTACATCATTGTCACTCTTCAGAGCAGGAGGAAGAGAGAGCTAGGTGAAGGAAGGTTCACACCAGTTTTTCATATTTTCTCCTGCAAGTGATACATGGTCGTTGCCAGGAGCAAATCATGTGACCACACTTGCACTCAGCAGGGTGGGGATGTGTAATTCCTCCTTAGGAAGGGGTGGGAAATTTGGATGAAGAGTAATGCCACCACCACATATCTAAAAATGCAATTCCTACCCTACAAGGTCGTAATATTCTAAGAGAGTGGTTTTTGTTTCATGTTTCAAATATACTTTCATAAGTGAATGGTGGGTCATTTAGGTTGATTTTTTTTTCCATTCCTGCAAACAATCTGTTAAATCTAATAAAGTATAATTTAAAAGTTATGTGTTTGAGCTATCTTTAACATACGGTTATTATTTTAAAAAAATTTTTTTTTAACATTTATTCATTTTTTGAGAGACAGAGACTGAGCATGAGTGAGGGAGGAGCAGAGAGAGAGGAAGACACAGAATCTGAAGTGGGCTCCAGGCTCTGTACTGACAGCACAGAGCCTGATGCAGGACTCGAACTCACAAACCGTGAGATCATGACCTGTGCCGAAGTCGGACGTTCAACCGACTGAGCTACCCAGGCGACCCTAACATCGAAGTTATTTTACTTTGTCCGGTTCTTTATCAGTGGCTTAACAGTTTGTATTCTACAACTGTCACTTGTTGACTTTGCTGTTAAACATTTATTTTTCAAAAACCAAACGTGTCTACTGTCTTCACAAGGCAAATGGAGTCAGTTGAGGGGAGGTATCAGGAAGAAGAGATGGATGGCAGGTGTCTCATATCTTGGATTTTATTTCCTTGCTAATTTTCTCAAAGATGTCAGCCCTTGCTTCTGTGGGTCTATCTGTTTAGTCTGAGAAGTTACTTCTGCGCTGGGCCAGAAGCCAGCCTGGCAGGAGGGGCCCCAGGTCACCTTTATAGTGATTCTTTTTCCATCTGGCCATGGGAGAGGCACAAGCAAAATGGGCTGGTAGAACAAAATCGCTTCCTGGGCTGAATTTTTCCCACCACCAACTTAGGGCAGATGGGCTGATGTTCTCTACCTATGTTCTCTGTCGAAACCTCAACCAAACAAGCCAGCTCTGGACATGTACCTATAGGCAGTGAGAACTGCTTGTTCTCTTTTCTACTTTCCTTTTTTTTTTTTTTTTTAGCAGATGTTTTATTTTTCTTAATGTTTATTTATTGATTTTTAAGAGATAGAGGGAGACGGAATCCCAAGCAGTCTTGGCACTATCCGCACAGAGCCGGACGCAGGGCCCAATCTCACGATAGGAAGATTGTGACCTGAGCCTAAATCAGGAGTTAGAGGCTTAACTGACTGAGCCACCCAGACTCCCCTGTTTTTTACTTTCCTGCTCAGGTTTCCCTCAGAGTAGGTCCCGCTTAAGACTTACCACTTTTGTTGGGGCGCCTGGGTGGCTCAATGGGTTGAGCGTCCGACTTCGGCTCGGATCATGATCTCACGGTTCATGAGTTTGAGTCCCGCGTCGGGCTCTGTGCTGACAGCTCGGAGCCTGGAGCCTGCTTCGGATTCTGTGTCTCCCCGTCTCTCTACCCCTCCCCTGCTCATGCTCTGTGTCTCTCTCAATAATAAATACATGTTAAAAAAAAAAAAAAGACATC